CCTGTAACTTCAGGGGTTCCTCAAGGTTCAATCCTTGGCCCTATACTCTTTTTAATTTACATTAACGATCTTCCAGATATTCTCACATCTAAGGTGGCATTATTCGCCGACGACACTACCATTTACTCTTGTCATGATAAGAAGCCTACACTCTCTGATTGCTTGGAGGGGGTATCTGAGCTTGAAAAGGATCTCACTTCTGCTACAGCATGGGGCTCACAGTGGCTGGTGAACTTTAATTCAGATAAAACTCAATTTTATTCGGCCAATCGTTATCGTAATAATTTAGATCTTCCTATATTTATGAATGGTAATGTACTAGATGAGTCATCTACCATTCATCTTCTAGGATTAACTCTTACTTCTGATCTTTCTTTTAAACCGTATATCAAATCCATTGCAAAATTAGCATCTGCTAAGGTTGCACCTCTTTATTGAGCTCGACACTTTCTTACTCCAGATTCTATTCTCTATCTCTATAAATCTCAAATCCGTCCCTGTATGGAATACTGTTGCCACATCTGGGGCGGATCTTCTAATGATGCTCTTTCTCTTTTAGACAAGGTGCAAAAACAAATTGTAAACATAGTTGGACCTGCTCTGGCAGCCAATCTCCAACCTTTGTCACATCGTCGTAATGTTGCTTCTCTTTCTCTTTTCTACAAATACTATAATGGGCACTGCTCTAAAGAGCTAGCGTCCCTTGTGCCATCTACTAAAATTCATTCTCGTGTTACTCGCCATTCAATTAAGTCTCATCCTTTATCTGTGACTGTTCCTAAGTGCTTCAAAAACTCTTATTCTTCTAGTTTTTTTCCTCGAACGTCAGTTCTTTGGAATTCGCTTCCTTCATCTTGCTTTCCTGATTCATATAATTTGCAATCTTTTAAGTCATCAGTCAATCGTTATCTTGCTCTACAGATTTAGTCTTTTCTCTTCCAGTAACTTCCAACTCTTATAGTGGTTGCTTGCAGCCTTGTTGGAAGTGAAGATGTTAAAAAAAAAAAAAAAAAAAAAAAAACTTCAAGATTTTATTCTTTATAACTTTTTCAAATATTTTGCACGCAACAGAGGTAAGTGAAATAGGGCGATAGTTTTCAGGAAGTAGTTTGTCTCCCATTTTTTTATAGATCGGACTAATTTGCTAATTTCCAGAAAGTTGATACTATTCCAGAATTGAAAGATTCATAGAAGAAGTACTGAAGAGTATGTGCTTGCCCAAACGATATTGCAATAGTTGATATAACTGAACGAACAATATATATTTTTTAAGCAAGTTTTATTTAGAAGGTGTTTTATTTTATGCATGATGCCGATTGACTTGGAGATTTTATTTTCGATGTGCAAAATATGATTCTTCCAACTAAGATTTTCTTGAAAAATTATTCCCAGGATTTTCATCGAATGGTCTCTTTTTATATTAATGCTATTGATCATAAGCTGGGGAAGCTGAAGTGGTAAATTAACAGAATTAGATGATTTGTGAAATAAAACATATTTGGTTTTGAGGATGTTCAAGGAAAGTTTATTAGCTTTGAAACACTCGTTTAAGTTTTGCAGCTCGTGATTAACTGTAGAAAATATTGTTTTTATATTTGAGTGAGTAAAAAAAATAATGGTATCATCTGCAAAAAGAGTAAAATTAAGAATGTTTGAAGTTAGTTCGCATAAATTAAAAATAGTAAAAGTTCAAGAATGGAGCCTTGGGGTACACCACTACTTATTCTTTGTAACCGCGTACATGCTGTGTTGTACGACACTCCTTGTTTCCTGTTATTTAAGTAATTTCTGAACCATCTTAGATTGTTGCCTGTTACTCCATACATCTCTAGTTTGTGCAGGAGGATCTCGTGATCAACTGTATCGAATGCTTTTGTTAAATCGATAAACAAGTGGTTTTTAGAATGAATTGTTTTTTTGATCTTTGGAAAAGCTTTTTCGTATAGTTTAAAAAATAAGCGTATAAAAAGATCATAAGCATTATTCGCATCATTGCACTCAGCTATGAGTTCCCAATTGGTTTCATGTATCAAATCGCGAAATTTTTTTATATAATTGTTGTTTATTTGTCTGACGTAGGTGGTAAAGGAATTATTATCTTTAATAGTGAAGCGATTGATTATCAGAAATTTTGGAAAATCGTCACTTATATCGGATTTTATGATACCACTTTTAGTTTTATAAAGCATGTAGTTATTTGTTATAATATTGTCAATGATTGAAGAAGTTAAAGAAGTTACACGCGTCGGTTTGTTTATAAGTGGTATAAAACTGTGCTGAAGAAGTGTATTTACAAAGCGCCTGACGTTGGAATCGCAATTTGTATTTAAAAGGTTTATGTTAAAGTCACCTGTTAAATAAATGTTTTTACTTGTCTCAGGTAATATGCGTTCCAGTTGCTTTTGAAATAGTTCGAAATTGCCATTGGGTGGTCTGTATAGAGCAGTAATGAAAGTGTTTTTAGCTTTTCGATTGATTATCTCAATAGTTATCGACTCGCAGTCTTCATTATTTATGCTAAGGTTTTCTATCTTTTTAAAAATAAAAGAATCTAAAACAAAAATACACACTCCTCCACCGATGCTCTTTTTTCTTGCTTGATGAATTGGTTTATAACCCGATAAATAAAATTTGAGTTTGAATCATCTCCGTTTTGAAACCAATATTACACTAAATAGACATATTACACTAAATTTGTAGTTTAAATTTTCTAACATTATTTTAAAGTTTTCAAAATTTTTATTCATACTCCTGATATTTAGGTTTAACAGCGAAAAAAAAGTTGACGAAGAACTAAGAAAAGTAGAAGTCTCACTGACATTAAAATAATTAGTTTCGATTGAAAGTTTGTCAAAAATGTTTACGTCAGGATCAATGTTTATTAAACGTCGATCAAACGTTTAGAATAACGACTTATATTAGTCGATATTGTAAATGTTTGATCGACGTTTAATAAACGTATATATAAAAAGATTTAAAGCGCAGATTTTAAATCTATAAATGTTTACGTTTAATTAAGATCGATTCAAGGTTTACAATATTGACTAATGTAAGTCGATATTCTAATCGTTTAATCGACGTTTAGTAAGCGTATATATATAAAAAGTTTGAAATATACATTTCAAATCAAGCGTCGATTTTTATTCAATAATAGGTCACTAAACGTTTTATCCATTTTTCGACTAAATATTGACCAATTCTGAACCATCTATGATTACTGAAGTAGGAAACTAATAATTCTTGGATGTCTTGAAAAATACAGTGTTGTAATTAACTCCAAAAAATCCAACATAGAGCATTATAAGAATGCGATACATTTAAAAAGTCTGTATCTAGAGGAGAATCCAGATACTCCAGCATTTAGTACCACTTTCCAAATTATATCTTTTGAAAGAAGTTAAACCATTGTTTAGAATTTCTACTAATGGATATTTGGCCTAGATTCGATGATTGTCTGAAAACTAAAAATATTTTTCAGAGAGGGTAACAAGGTAGAAGTTGGAATGGAAATAATTTCAATAATTCTAAGGTCCTAAAAAGCCTGATGAACTTGATAAAGTAGTAACATTTCAGATAAATCAACTTTAAAATAGTAAAAAACTTCTAAAAGACTTTAAAATAGTAAAAATTTCTGAAAGGCTTTAAAATAGTAAAAAATTTCTGTTTTAATCAAACTCTTATAATAGAGTTTAAGTTTCATTCGTGTTGAAAAATTCTTTCTTATCAAGAATATCTCTACACGTTCTATGGAAAAATTAAAAACAGTTTGCTGTGTCATGTCCAGCTTTTTGTCGAACACCACAACTGTGGCCTATCCAGGTTTGCTAAATAAAAAAATAAATAGTAAAAAGCTATTAATTCTTAATTTAAACCTACATAGAGTAGATTAAAACGTGTCGCAGAGCATACTCAATCTGTTATCTTCTGTGTGTTATCCTTTGTGGTTTATTTTAATGAAAGAAGAATTTAATTTTGACATGTTGCTCTAGAGTAGAAGGAAGAACTGATTTATTGTTGAATTGTGTAGCGTGTACATTAGTATCGTAAATATAGACTTTATTGTTTTAAATTTTGTTTAAATTGGTTAAAGTATTTTTTTTGGAACAGGTATCGAAAATGCTTAAATATTATATTTCGATTTTCAAAAGCAAGGTTTGAATTAGGCGATCGCAATTTGCAAAATCTGGAAAAAATCTGGCCTTCAAAATTTTAGTTTATGCAAAGCCGTGTACTTTGTTTTCGATCGCATCTGTTTGTGGTTTAGATTCTCATCTGAGTAAATTCTTGGACGTTTATTTGTTATAAGTTTTTAAACTAAAACAATTTATTAATGGGTTTGCATGTCATTAAAAATTCATTAAAATCAATTAAATTAAAAAAGTAAGCGAAAGATTTGAATATAAATTTATAAGATTTGTAAAAAATATGCGTTTAAAAAATTGCAATTTTAATGTTCAAATAATGATTTTTATAGAGTAAGATATTTCTAACTTAGACTTCCTTCGCAAAACCAATTATTTTCCCATGAGAAAATAATTGGTTTTGCAAAACCAATTATTTTCTCATGGGAAATTTTCGCAAAACCAATTATTTTCCCAAGTTTGTATTACTATATAAAAAACTAAAAAAAGTTAGGCGCCTTTACTTACCCCAATTTAAAATAATTAAGTTTTTTGTAAAGCTTATATTTATTTTGAAGCATTCTGCATCATTTAAAAAATAATCTTAATAGCGTCACACAATTAATAATCAAAAACCGAAATAAGTGTGGTTAATTTTTTTATTTATAATGTGGTTTATTTGTACTTAAGAAATAAAAAGGGTTTATTTGTAACCTTGGGAAAAATAGGAAGAAATAAGAAGGGTTTATTATTTCTTTCTAAACAAATAATAAACCCTTCTCATTTCTTTAGAAAGAAATAAGAAGGGTTTATTTGTACCTCAGAGAAATAAGAAGGGTTTATTTGTAACTTAGAGAAATGGAAAAAACAAAACACAAATCATAGTAATAAATTTTTTAACAAAAAATGTTTAAAAAATGAAAAAATTTAAGGTTAAAAAAAGAAAAAACCTAATAAACCAACATTAGTAAAACTATTTCCAAACTATATTCTATATTTATAAACATGTTTTATAAAAGACTAGAGACGAAATAAAATTTTTAAGCTTTTTCAAAATTATTTAAAGTACATCAAAATAAAAATTTAATAAAATAAAACATTAAAATAAGAAAAAAACACATCCAAAACAAGTTATCACTTTCATTAAGGAATACCAGATTTTAAAACATTTAAAAAAAGTATCAAGAAACAATACAAAAAGTTTATATTTCTTCCGCTTTTGATTAATTGCAATCACCTGCTGAGGTTAAAACTATTTATAGATTTTAACTGAAAATACGATGTTCTAACAAATGCATAAGTATAAAACCGCATTCAAGCATCGTGTTCTGATAATAATATAATTAAAAAAAATCAAAATTGAGTATTATTTAATGAGTATAATCTATTATTATTCAAACATTTTAAAATAAAGTTTGTTTGGAAGAATTCAGATTAAAACTTAGATAAAAACAATTAAAAATGAAATAATAAAAAATGTTGCCACAGTAACACACGATTGAAGTCTATTTTGTTGGGAAAAAAACGAAAAAAAACTTACTACTAACTCCAGACATAACATCTTCCACATTTCTAACTTTTTTGTATCCAGCCTTACGTCGTGCAGATGAAGGAGCTCCCTCTAGTAGAAAACCTAATATCTAATGAAAAATGAGATAAAACGTGTTAATGTTCATGTAAAACTACAAATAAAAACTTTTATAAAAAGTTCAACATCTTGATATAAAAGTAAAAATATTTACCTTAGATTTTTTATGATACAAGAAATAACCACCAACAATGATAACAAATGAAACCATAAAAATCAATGGAAAGCTACTAGAAGAATCATAACCAGAATTTGCACTAAAAACCAATAATATTTTTATTGCTTATGTTATTTTCATAACATAAGCCAAAAAGCAAAACGTTATATGACTATTTTTTATATTTCTCCTACACACATCAAAAAAGTAGGATTTAGGTTTTAGGCCAGAGTTCCCCAAATATTTTTATGAACTTTTATAAGTGACACTTTAGGATACTGTACTAAAAGCTTAAAAATCAAAGGTAACCTTTTTGAAAAAAATGTATTTAAAATTTTGTAAATTTTTGTATGAAAGGGGAGGGGGTCAGGGTTGAAGTTAATCTTTTCCTTATGAAAAGTCAATATTAACATCTTCAAATTATGTTATAGCTCACCCAGTATTGCAGGCTATTAGATTTTGATCATCTTAAGATGTTGACTTTTCTATAGAAATTGTCGATGGAACCATATATAAAAATTTAAAGAAGATTTTTTATAATGCTTTGTTAAAAACGTTTCCAGTAGTAATGTTGCCGTTTTCTTGACTTTATAATAATAGAATGTTGCAAATCTTTATATTTGTTTGGTTGCTGTTGATAATTAATTTTTGTTTTGATTTACTGTATTAGAAAATGCCTAATATATTATCTAACAAAACAGTAAAAAGCAAAGAGTAAAAAGAAAAATAAGACTATTTATTGAATCGGAAAATTGTTTGCTGATATTGTTTAAAGAAATGCTTAAAATGTTTTCAACTCAAAAAATTATTAGACGATTACATAAAAATTCACCTGAACATTGAATATCTGTAATACAGTTATCCAACTGGTATATTCCATTTTCTGAATTAATAATAATAATCTATATTTAAAAATAAACTTACTTTATGTAGGCATATGTCCAACATGCAAAAAAGTAAGTAAACTTACTGAAAGAAAGTAAAGACATACCAAATATAGTTAAAACTCGATGGCAATCTGCTAAATTATCTAGATGTGTAAGTTCTCTTTCTTTTAAATTGTGAAACATGCACAGTTTGTTCTAAGGCTAGATCCAGATTTCCGTATATGAAAACAATGAAAAAATTAGTAAGTTTGATTAGGATGAGGTAATACTTGCTTATGAGTGATTGGGAGAGGAATTCAACATCAATGTACTGAATGTACAAATAGTTCTGCTAAATTATTTAATGCTTCTAAAAAAGTTCAGGAAAAAGTCATTTCGAATGTTTTAAGATTACTTTATAAGAAAAAAAAAATTGAGCATGGAATCTAGACACATCTAAATACTGGTAACTTGTTTATTAAATTTGTTAGTGTTTTCGAATTTTTTAAATCATTAACAATATTATACTATTCAGGTGGGTTGCCATTACCTATAACTATTTGTGTTCCTAAATAAGTTAGTAGGAAAGTCAAATTTGAAGAAACTGAAACTATGATTATTTGACTTGGACTAAGTCAATTCAAAGAACAGATCCTTGTGAAATCCTTAAGGAAAAGTGGAATTCAATTTGAGGCAAATCTTAAAAAAAACTTTACCAAAAAAGTATAATCCTATCTGAATTTTATGATGTAAAGACAGTTATCGAGGAAGAAAAAAAAATATATATCAACAAGTGCGGCCGTGGCTCAGTGGTTAAAGTGCTTGCTTTAAAAGCGGAAATCCAGGTTCAAAACAAGCTTTGGACATATTTCGCATCACGGTAAGAAAGGAGGCATGAACTTCCTGGTTAAGTGCACTTCCTCAGTGCTCTGTGACAAGACCATTCGGACTTGTCACAGAGCACAAAAAAAAAAATCCTTCTGAATTTTATGGTATTAAGTCAGTTATTGAGGAAAAAAATATATATATATATATCAACAGATGTGTTGAGAGACCTTGTTTGTGTTTCTCAATTAACCGAACTGATCAACTTTGTAATGACTTACAGAAAGCAAAACCCTTACAAAACATTAATACGTATTGGAACTGATTCAGGTAAAAACGTTATTAGATGAAGTGATCCTGAACCTCATAGTATATAATTTTTTAATTAAAACTAATATTTTTTAAGTGGCAAATCACTTAAGATAAATTCAAATCTCTTTGATCCAGAAAAAGAATGATGCAAAGATCAAAGTTCTCAAGGAACATACTCTGGAATTAACCATTCTGTGGTTCTTGCGTATTGTGTCAACATGCAGAAGACACACAGAAATTTAGCCATTTTATTAGATCTTCTAAAGCTTGAAGATTGTAAATATATTCTTACAGCTGATTTGAAAATAATTCATATTTTTCTAGGAATTTCACTAAATTATAATTTAAAATTAATTTATTATGTAACTTTAAATTGAAGTTTTAAATAAAATATAAACAAATTTAGTCTCATGATGGTAAGTATGCTAGTGCTTGGTATAAAGGAGAATGTGAGTATTTCGGTGGGTTAATGAGAACATTTTTATCATTGGATCTATGGCATCAGAGATACATGGAAGCCAGTTAAAGTTCTGAAATAAAAGAATATAAGATGTAAATGCTAATTATTACTTAATTTAAAATTTAAAAAAATTGTTTTGATAATAAGAAAATAATTTTTTATAATGTTAACCAAATTAATATATTTTGACAGAACATAATAAACGCATGCGGAAAATAAGTCAAAACTAGTTCTTGAAGCTATTTCTTTGCCAAAGGTCCATATGTTAATGCAATTTGTAAATCATATATCAACGTATATAGTTTTTTATTGGCCTATATACAAAGACTGAGTCAACTCACTTGGATGTATTAGAAGAGGATACCATGGGGGAACATATGAAGACAGTACATATAGGCTTATTCTTAAAAACTGTGACCAACAAGACTACCAACTGAGGTCTTACCACTTTTATATCCAATGAAAAAATTTTATAAATTAGTTTAAGGAACCTTCAGAAGTTATTTTAACTCTAGTTATCTTCAACTAATAACTGACTTTAGTTTTTCCTACAATGCAACACAGAAGTACTGTTTAGAGGTACAGTTAATTCATTAAAAATTTAAAGCAAATTTGTTAAAAACGAATTTGCTTTAAATTGACTTTATCTTATTATTATTACACATATTATTATTATTATCTATCTTTTGTAATATTTTATTAGTTTCTAGGAAAAAAACTTACAGTGAACTGGAAAATACACTTAATCTCAGCTCAGTATTGAACTTACTGGCCATTCTCTTGGACGATACAATGAAGAGGCGTCTGAATCCGCTCATTCAAAAACAAAGCCAATAATCCAATGGTTCAATGTTTCACAACAAGTTCAAAGCACTCTCTTAAAAGCAAAAGAATTGCTGAATCGTTCAGCAGTAATAATTTATAGATTAAATAAATGAGATAATGTATAAGTCTAATTACAAATTTAAAACTTTGGATGATTGCAAACACTTTTTTAAAATTGTTAGTTAACAGTATAAACAAATCTTTGTGGTGTTGAATAGTAAATCAAGTATATGAGTTAGGATAATCAAGTACATGAGTTAGGATAATCAAGTATATGAGTTAGGATAATCAAGTATATGAGGATAATAAATATTAAAACATTTACAGAGATTGAACTTTTTACTCCTCTTAAAAAAAAATTCCACTGCACTTAAAATTTTTTTTTTAATTGAAACTTTTTTAAAATCAGTTTTTTCAAAAACGGCTACTTTTTGATTTTTAAGCTTTTAGATACAGTATCCTAAAGAGACACTAATAAAAGTTCCATAAAAATAGTTAGGGAACTTTGACCTAAAACCTATTTTTTTGATGTGTGCCTAGGTCTTTAAAATAAACTTACAACAGTTAAGTATCTTATTTTATTATTTTAATATTATACTTCTACAATTTATGTGAAATTAGTGGACAGACATCCTTTAGATTGAATTTATGTGAAATTAGTGGACAGACATCCTTTAGATTGAATTTATGTGAAATTAGTGGACAGACATCCTTTAGATTGAATTTATGTGAAATTAGTGGACAGACATCCTTTAGATTGAATTTATGTGAAATTAGTGGACAGACATCCTTTAGATTGAAGAGTACTTATTGACAATAAACAGAAAAAATCATGGTTCTTGACTAAAGATGCAATAAAACACACTAATAGTTACATAATAGTTACTTTTTCTTTATAAAAATAAAATAAGTTTACACAACAAAAAGTTAAGTAAATAAAACTTTAACTTTCTAAAACTGTATACTGTAGCACTTTTTGCATTTTCATATTTACATCGAATTATAGCATAAGTAAGTTAAATAAGATCGAGATTATCAACTGAGATTTCAAATTTTAACCTATTATACTTTTGATTAACCGAACAACTAAGATTCGACTTTTAACCTATTATATAAAATAAAAAGTTTTGGCTCAATCGGACTATGCTAACCTTTGCTTCATTGAAATTAAAACCTTGGGAATAAATCAAAAAATTATTTAAAAAACATAACTTTTTGCTTGTAATAGGAAAAAAGGTTCACCTTAGAAAAATAATTTGTGTATCATTTTGTTTACTAGGTTATTCTCTTCAAATTTTGTTTTCCATTATTTAGCTGCAACCAATAGTTTGTGAGATATTTACATTTTGACATATGTACATTAAAAAATGGTTTAATTTTTCTAATAAACACCGTAGTAATCTTTGTATATCTTTGTATTTGTAATCTTTTGTATAATGTAATTAAATTAGTTAAATTTAAGCTAGTTGTTTTGAATTCATTAACTAATTAATTTTTTTTTAACTTTTTTTTTTTAATTGTGCTTTTAGTTGTGATGACTTCTTGAAAATCTGAAATTCAAGATAAAAAGATATAATTTTTTAATAAGTTTATTTATTGGTATAAATATATTCCCTTTGTTAGCCTAGGACTTTTACAAAATAATTATTTTACAAAATAATTAAAAAAAAAAAGAAAAATGCAATTTAGAAGAGTATTTTATTTATTAAATAATACCACTCAAGTTGAAACTTTGGAATAAAATCATAAGTTAATGAAAATGCTTGTCTAAATAATCGTAACTTAACTTAACTATTCTGATGTTTAATTAAAGTTGTGTTATATATTTTAGAATTAAAAAAGTTTAAATTTTAAGAAAGCAGTAAAGATGATGAAGTTGGATTTGAAGATAATATTCAATGCACAGAGGACGTAGCCACAAAATTTGAAGAGATAAACCTAGTGAACAATGAGACCTAAGTATGTTTCTAGGGTGAACCATTTTTAATTTTACAAACATGTTTCTAGGGTGAACCATTTTCATTTCACAAACAAAAAAATTTTTTTTCTCAAGATTTCTTAATTTTACAAGACTCCAACCTCAATGAAGTACAGGTTAACGAATTCCAATTGAGCTAAAACTTCATGAATGTTTATTTCAGTCAAGTGGCACAATTTAAGGGGTTCCCTCCATTGTAATTTCAAAAAGTATTATGTGACCACCCTGATGTTCTACTGTTCCTATGTACATATGACTATATCAGTTAAAGTTGTACACTATGCTGCGCAGTACATACTGCGCAAAATGTTTTTTAAATACAACATAATCGGTCTTTAAATATTACTTTCATTATGATGCACTACTATATAACCATTCAATTTGATAAAACCATTCAATTTGATAAAACCATTCAATTTGATAAAACCATTCAATTTGATAAAACCATTTAATTTGATAAAACCATTCAATTTGATAAAACCATTCAATTTGATAAAGCCATTCAATTTGATAAAACCATTAGACCTTCTTTAATTTTGTTTATGAAATTTAAAAAAGTTTTTTAATTTGTGTTTTATTCTTTTTCTATTTTAAAACTTGTTATATGAAACTTTAAATTCAAAAATATTTGAAATTCTGTTTTTTAAATGTCTGATAGCCAATAGAGACTATTGCGCCTCCCCCTCCCCCCGCCCCCTTGTATAAAATTGTAGGAAGTACCTGTAAAACACAATTATATAAATAGCATCCTAAAGATATCTTTAGACTTAATCCTACATTTTCTTACTTTTCGACTTTCCAATATAAAATATACATAAAACATTCTTAGAAACAATAGGTGAAACAATTACGATAAAACCTTTTATGGTCTTTAATTAATGCAAACTTGAAATTGAATTTGTAATTTGTATTAAAATGATTATGATAAACAATAGAGTTATTTACAATATAACTCTTTACAGATAAAAAATAAATAAAAATTACCTATTGCTTTTTGTTTTTTGTTCAGAATTTAATATCTGCATAATTGTCTCTATAAAGTATAAACATATTATAAGCAAATATAAGAAATAAACAAAAAATAATAATAGAAATAGATTAAAGCGAATATTAATGACAGATAAAAACGAATACTAAAATTTAATAAAACCATAGTAAATTAACTAATATTAAGTAAGACGTTATTTATTAATTATCATTACATTATATATGTGGATTGTTATAATATATTCTGCATTTTTTCATTTTTAAAGTTCTAACAATATATTTTACCAGATTAAAAATTATTAAAAATTTTTTCTTTTCTTTTTGTAACTAATCTTCTTTGGTTTGATTGAAAACCAGTTAACGCAACTAAAGCCCTTGCATATGGCTATTTTAGTATGTCATTAAATATTTGTATTTGTATGTATGTATGTATGTATGTATGTATGTATGTATGTATGTATGTATGTATGTATGTATGTATGTATGTATATATATATATACATAAATGTGTACTTTAGTGAGCAGTCTGAAGTTATAATAAAATAGGGGGGCTATCCTGGGCTTAAACTGCATATTTTTTGTTAATCTATTTTGTGATTATTCCACTTAATATTGATATATTGCTCACAAATCAAACAAGAGTTGTTTATTATCATATAATCAAAAAAAAATTTTTTTTGATCCATTTATTGAGTACTCTCTTCAAGTTGCATACATGATGAAAAAAAAAACTTTAAATATAATTTAAGGATATTCTGATAACATCTATAAAAGACTTCAATATATAATTATGGTATAAATTGAAACAGTAAAAAAATGCAATGGAAAGCTTTTTTTATTTTAAACAAGAGTTCATATAGTAAGATTAATAGTATTACTTATAACTAATTAAAAACTATAACTAGGATTAAAAACTATGGATTAAAAACACTATCTAAAACAAATCACAAAAATGCTAGCTTTTGAAAATGACCTTCTTGTTATTGTAAAATTTTTTTTTTTTTTTTTTTTTTAACATCTTCACTTCCAACAAGGCTGCAAGCAACCACTATAAGAGTTGGAAGTTACTGGAAGAGAAAAGACTAAATCTGTAGAGCATGATAACGATTGACTGATGACTTAAAAGATTGCAAATTATATGAATCAGGAAAGCAAGATGAAGGAAGCGAATTCCAAAGAACTGATGTTCGAGGAAAAAAACTAGAAGAATAAGAGTTTTTGAAGCACTTAGGAACAGTCACAGAAAAAGGATGAGACTTAATTGAATGGCGAGTAACACGAGAATGAATTTTAGTAGATGGCACAAGGGACGCTAGCTCTTTAGAGCAGTGCCCATTATAGTATTTGTAGAAAAGAGAAAGAGAAGCAACATTACGACGATGTGACAAAGGTTGGAGATTGGCTGCCAGAGCAGGTCCAACTATGTTTACAATTCGTTTTTGCACCTTGTCTAAAAGAGAAAGAGCATCATTAGAAGATCCGCCCCAGATGTGGCAACAGTATTCCATACAGGGACGGATTTGAGATTTATAGAGATAGAGAAAAGAATCTGGAGTAAGAAAGTGTCGAGCTCGATAAAAAGATGCAACCTTAGCAGATGCTAATTTTGCAATGGATTTGATATACGGTTTAAAAGAAAGATCAGAAGTAAAGGTTAATCCTAGAAGATGAATAGTAGATGACTCATCTAGTACATTACACGTTTCGATTAGAAATTGCTGCAGCGCAATGTGAGGAAAACCAAGGAGAAGAGTGAGGCTTGACCTGAAATCGTCGAGAGGGAATAAAAGATTCCATGCCAGCCTGAATCCACGAAGTTATGTAAGAAGCACATTTGTCAGCAGGAAGACGAAAGATTTCTACCCAAGGGCCATCACGAAGAAAATCACGGAAAGAGTCCCAGTCAGTTTTAAGGTAGTTGTATGTGGTACGATGATAGGGGGATTCTGATGAAGTAGAAGAATTTGATAATAGTTTTAGAGAGATCAAACCGTGATCAGAAGTACCTAAGGGTGAATGTGGAGAAATTGAGCACTGACTAGGATCCAAAACAAGACATAAGTCGAGTAGAGAAGGTAAATGATTAGGGTTGTCTGGAAAACGAGTTGGAAAGTTGACTATTTGAGTTAGAGATTGAGAAAGGCAAAAGTTGAGGGCCTTAACGCCAGGAGAGTCACTGACACTAGAGCCAAGCCAATCGGTGTGATGGGCATTAAAGTCACCAACAACGACAATATTGGCCGATGGATAAAGAGAGAGGGCTTGGTCAATTTGATCAGAAATAACATCAAGAATAGTGCAATCTTGGGATGAAGGAGAGCGATATAGAACAAAGAGAAAGGCGATAGAGTGAAGTTGTGCTAAACGAAAGCACATAAATGAATAGTCTGTAGATTCAAACCTAGTTTCACGACAAATGGGTGAGTTCTTACGAATGTAGATGCCCAGGCCAAGCATGTGATTATTGGAGTCTTTACGAATTAAAGGAAGATAACCATCAACACTAAGATCACAAGATGGGACAGCCGAACTCAAATTAGTCTCACAAAGAGCAAGTAGGTCTGGTGAACTTTGCAAGAGATAAGACTCAACAGAAGAAAAGTTACTTCGAAGACCACGAATATTAGTAAATGATAGGTTTAGAGAACTTGGTGATGACAATGGTTTTTTGTGTTTTTTAGTTTTAGGTACTTTAGTCATTTTAAATTTATAAAGAACTTGACTCAAGTATAGATAGTACTCAGTACACTATTTAACAACTAAGCAATAGCCTCATTACTATTAATAAACCCTAAGCCGTAACAAAGGGCTCCAAATGTGGCCTCTGCAATGCACACCAAAAGTACAAACAGGGACACCATCCATGCGCAACATGGCACTGTTAGTACTCTGATATTTTTCGGCTGTTGATGGAATCAGCCTCTCTGAGAGCTACCACAGAGTTCGGGAAACCTGACTACCAGCCGGCCTCAGAACCATAAAACTGAGTTTTAGAGCTGTACCCTCATTAGGAGATAATAGAATGAGTTGCCCAGTCATAAAAATAGAGACACAAGCAATACCCACGCATTGAGTCAAGAAGATCCAGCATTCAACATCCTAAACTGGAAACAATGTATTAAAAATACATCTGCGCCAGCCTAATAGATGAGGAAGGGGTGCGAGGCTGGTCAACAGATAGAATCTGTTTACCCCTTAAGTCTTTGCCTAGGAGGCCTTCTACAAGACAGCAGCTGGATGCATGTAACATCTGCCCAAGATGAGTATTTTTATCGAGACACCATCTCTAGCCTTTACTCAACCAAGAGCCCCAAGGCAGGGGGTGTTTTAATTCAGAGTTAACTTCTCCTAGCCTTTGCCTAAAAAAGCGTATCCTACAAGGCAGCAGGACATGGAGCAGGTTGTACTGGGTTACATGTTACCAGTAGCAGGAAAACCTGACCTGACCTATTACATTATATTGACCTATTACATTATATTGACCTAATACATTAGGTTTCGAAAAGTATACAGCAGTTTTTAAAATAAACTAAAACAAAATATAAATAATAATCTCAAATCTAAAATCACTTATAACTATGCTGATAAAACAATCTTTACAATTTATCTATAGATGATTACAACCACTTATTAAAAATTACCATCATTTCAAACTACAAATAATTTAACAAAAATACAAACAAAATAAACATAAAGTCTTTTAAAAAATAGTCTTAAAAAATCATGATGTTATCTATAAAATTGACATTAATGCAGCACTCAATTGATTTATGAAGGTAATTTTAAAAACAACCCAACAATCAGTTTATTGAACCCTGCTAATAAAGAATTTAGGAGAATTATTAAAGATATTCTTTTTGAAATTAATACAGAATTAAGAAAGATCCTACAATTCAATTAATGGAAAAGCACTCAAAATGTTATCAGTTGGTTTAATGCCATAAAAGACAAACACCTTTATAATTTTATAATTTTTGATACAATTGACTTCTACCCTTTTATCAGTGGAAGCCTTCTAAAAAAACTCTAATAGTTTTGTTGAACAACAACTTACAGAGAGCATTTTTCACACTAGAAAGTCTTTGCTTTTTAATAATGATCAGTGTGGATAAAGCAAATAAGGGGTTTATTTGATGTTTCTATGGGAACATTTGACAGTGCAGAAGTTTGCGAGCTAGTAGGAATATTTCTTTTTTTTTTAAGTTTCTTAAAAAAAAAAGGAAACAAGTTTGAGTTTGGTTTAAATTGTGACAAAACGTACTAAAAAAATAGGACTAATTGCGCTATGGCTATAAAAATGCGGAGCTTGATTTAGTTAGCAGCAAAAGTTACTAAAAATAAGTTTTTTTAAAGTAATATACTTAAAATAAATTTTTAAGTATTTTTTTTAAAAATAATTTTTAAAAAAAAGACTTAAAAATGTCCAGAAAATTTTTTTGTTGTTACTCTGATTATGATCCAGTAAAAGACCAAAAAAAATCCTGAAAAAAAATCCTGAAAAAAAATCCTGAAAAAAAATCCTGAAAAAAAATCCTGAAAAAAAATCCTGAAAAAAAATCCTGAAAAAAAATCCTGAAAATCTTTCAGAGAAATCTTAAAAAAATCTTAAAAAAAGTAAAAGACTTTTAAAAGTAAAAGTAAAAAATCCTGAAAATCTTTCAGAAAAATCTTTAAAAAATCTTAAAAAAAGTAAAAGACTTTCAGACCAAAAAAATCCTGAAGATTGCCAGAGATTACAGCAATCTTAAGAGAAAATTGTCTCTTGTAATTTGTAATTTCAATAGCATTGTCTCATATTATCAATATACCACACAAACATGACACTGTAGCTTGTGCAAAACACTTCCCATTCAACTTCTATGTTATTAAAGTAAAAGGAAGAAAAATACCTTAAGATCCACCAAGCATATTTGAATTAATACCCAAGAGTTTAGTGCCAACTCCTCCATTAAAAATAAAAAGAAGAACAAGAGATGAAAGCTCTGTAAGATCAGTTAAAAAAGATGAACTTTCAAAATTTGTAAAGCCTGACAAAGCTGATTCATTTCAAAACTTTTTTTTTCTTAAAGAAGACTTAATGATTTAGTTGTTAATTATACTTGTTTAAACAGCTGTTGCATTAAATCAAAAGAGCATGTAGTATTTAATGATCTTTTATTGGTGTTAGATGTCATGCTGAGGTTAAATGCACTATTACCTTGCTAGTTCAAAATTGTATTAATAAGTTCAAATACCTTGTAACTTGTCATTAGACATTACGTTATTTGATTTCTTTTGAAAAGTTAAAAAAGAATACAATTTTACTTTAACAAGTTAAAAAATTGTATACTACAGCCCTCGAAATTAGGGTCGACATTTGGCAATGTCAACCTAACTGCCAATCTAAAAGTGTTTTAGGTTGACAAAAAATCGCTGACCTTGTTTCTATGTTATATGATAACTTCTTTGTGTCAAATTTTTTTTGAGTCGGCAATTTATTTTTCCTAATTGCAAGGACTGATGACTATTAATAGACGAAGTTTTGATTGAATTATGCTTATCATGTGGGACAGTTGTTTGGTAAAGCAGTAAACTTGCAAAAACTGTATTGGCTTTCGTGGTTGTATGTTTTTATTGGGGATCAAAATTTTTTTGTTAAAATATTACCAGTAAATAATTTAGATTTTGTATATAATCAAATTATTATCCTATTCTACCAAATTAAGAAGGGAAATTGAAAAGTTATTGCTTTAATTAATGATAATAATAGATTATAATAAACTAAGCATTTTTTAAACGATTTTATTGCTTTAATTAATGATAATAATAGATTATAATAAACTAAGCATTTTTTAAACGATTTAATTGCTTATCTTCATAGTTAACAACTAATAGCATCTTTTTTTTGATTTTGTGCATTTATCGAAGTGTATAAGAAGTAATTGAATAACTGAAAAGTATGGTGAAACCATATTTATTTATTGAAGAAAAAAAATATAATGTAAATAAGATAACACCAAAAAACAAAAGTTAAAAAAAAAAGCCATTTAAAATAAGTCCATTACATAAATCAAAATCGTTTAAAATTGAAAACGTAAGCCAAAGTTGTTTAAAATAAAAAGTCTGTTATGTACCAAAAAAGCTAAAAATATAATGAATAAATATAGAAAAATTATTAATTCATGCTCCAAACTAAGCAAAAGAAAGATTATACTTAAGTAAGAAGTTAATCAATGAACTAAATCTATATCTTCAATCTCAAATAAGATCTAATGATTATGAGTTAATTAATAAAATAACAAACAAACCCAATAATTATATTTTAAAAAATTTACATTTTTTATAACATTATATAAAAAAAAAAAAAACTGAAATGAAGGAGAAATGTTACATATTGCAAAATGACATCAATTATAAAATCAATTTTAAAAAACATATTCCCAATTGAATACTAAACTTAACAAATTGGATAATTTTCAAATTCTGGATAAAGCAACTACTGAACTACTAATTCTTGATCCAAATTTAGTCCCATTACGATAATCCCTTATATGGACATAATTACTAATATTGAAACTTGCGCTTTAGGACAAGAAAGACAAAACAAACATACACAGGGAGAAATTCTTTGACAAAACAGTTTGAAAATATTAATTCTTTAAAATTAAAATTGAAAGATAATTTTACAAAACAACAACACTTTACTTTAAAAAACTTGAAAAACATTCACATATAAATTATATGCATTTGACAAAGGAACAGGTTTTACTTTATTATACAAAAATTAATCAAAAGGTAAATTTAAAAAATAAATAAAAAATAGTAAAACTATTGATTACGATTCAACACAAACATTAAATACAAAATTTCAAGAACTTTTAAATTAAGAAAACAGGGTAAGTTAGACAATGTTACTTATTTTAAAATGGATCCATCAGATTGCATTCCACCTAGAAACTATGGAATGGTTCTCAAACCAGAATATGAAAGCTCACAAACCAGAATATGAAAGCTCACAAACCAGAAAACTACTCAATGCGTCCTGTTGTTTCCATTATTAAAAACCACCTTATGGAACATCAGAATATTTGGTTAAAATTATTCAACCAACATAAAATAAAAAATTTAACTTGTCTATTAATTTAAGTAGTTTTGTCAACAATCCTAAAGAATGGAAGATAGGCCCTTAATGAATGGAAGATAGGTCCTTAATGAAAGGAAGATAGGCCCTTAATGAATGGAAGATAGGCCCTTAATGAATGGAAGATAGGCCCTTAATGAATGGAAAATAGACCCTTAATGAATGGAAGATAGGCCCTTAATGAATGGAAGATAGGTCCTTAATGAATGGAAGATAGACCCTTAATGAATGGAAGATAGGCCCTTAATGAAATTCAAGTTTCATTTGATGTGGTAATTCATATTTATTGATGACCGATTGATGAAGCAATTTCTGTTATTGTTTACATTTTTAATAATGATTTTGAGGATTTAAAAGCTAGGACTAAATTAACTCTTGTAGATATACACCAGTTAATTGAACTTTCATTAAGCAAATGTTATTTTTTATACAAAAATAAAACCCAAATTTTACCTAATTCAAGTCCAATTGGTTTATTCCTAATGGTAGTCATAGCTAAAGCATTTTTGCAGAATATTGAAAAAAAAGGAATTAATATAACCTTTGTAAATTCATTCCAATCAATAACGTACAAAAGATATGTGAATAATACCCATGCTTACTTCTATTCAAAAGAAAAACAAGAATTGTTTCTTAAAACTTTAAATAAACCTTCCATAAAATATACTGTTGGATACACTAACCATTATTTAAATAAAACTAAACTCCAATATCAACCCAAGCATAATCACTGGTGTTTTGAAGAACTTTCATGTAGGGTAAAATAAATTTGCTCTTAAAAATATCTCTCACTAGAAATTAATTAAAAAATACTACATCTAAACAATTAAATAACAACAGTATTTTAAACTAACTTGGATACCTATTATTGGTCCAAAACTCCAAGGAGAATTTAGAAAACAAAACATTAGAGTTATATTTAAATCAGCTGCCTATTTGAATAATATTATACAACAACAAAACAAAACTACCTCTGAACTTAAACCTGGGTGTTTACCAACTTAAATGCTCATGCAGAAGCATATATATTGGCAAGATCAAAAAGAAAATCACTTCAAGAAGTGACAAACATTAAAGAGCCTGTAAAAATGAAAAATGGTCAAATTCAGGAGCCATGGAACATTCTAGAACATGACATGGTAACTTTGACTGGCTGAATCCTAAGGTTTTGGTAGTTATTCTAGAATAATAAATAAGAAAAAAATTAGAGAAAATTATTATATATATTCACATACATATATATATAAACATATCTATATATATATATATATATATATATATATATATATATATATATATATATATATATATATATATATATATATATGCAGGGGGCCAAATAAATGTTGGACATCGACACCCACTAGACTAATTTTGAGACCTGATTTATGGGGGCAACTAATCATTGTTCATTTTTACTAAAAAAATGAACAATGGTTTGTTGCCTTCCTCAAGAGGATCTCAAAAATGGTCCTAGGGGCAGCGATGTCCGACATTTAATTTGACCCCACTGTATAAATGTATATACAGTGCTCGAACAGAATGGTATTTGGTAAATTAAAAATATCATCCCGCCTAATCATTGTTATATATAGAGATTTTTAAAAAGCTGGCGGGATAGTTATTACTTTATAAAAAGGTGACAAGATGGCATGCCACCTCATCCCGCCTCACTTCGAGCACTGTGTATATATATATATACATACGAATATATATATACATATGCATATATATATACACATACATATATATATATATTTGTATATATATGCATAAATATATATGTATATATATATATACACATGTATATATATATATATATATATATATATATATATATATATATATATATATATATATATATATATATATATATATATACACATATATAAAGGATGAAACGATGAAAAGTAAATTTATTGCTGAGTTTATTTACTTCAAATAAAATTTTAAAATCTCAACATCAGAAACAAGTTGCGTCTTCTTATCTTACAAATAAATATTGAGGCATAATGAAAATGAATAACTACAACAAAAATTTAATAAAAAATCTTCATCTTATAAAATCATTTGAAACTTACATAATATATAATATAATCGTTCAGATATACACTCACCATGTTTAGTATCTGCCTTTAAAAAACTTTCATTTTCATCAATTTTTTTATTTAAACCACTTGAATCATCATCATCTGTATCTATGTTTGTATGAATATAAAAATAAGAAAATAAATAAATTTAAATATATATATATATATATATATATATATATATATATATATATATATATATATATATATATATATATATATATATATATATATATATACTATATATATATATATATATATATACATATATATATATATATATATATATATATATATATATATATATATATATATATATATATATATATATATATTTATATATATATATATAAATATATAATATATCTCATTATTTATTTCTTATGGAGACCTTTTGAGTACAAAAAGTATTGTTTGCAGGGACCGGTTACTTATGGGGACATAACCCAGTGTCCCTGTTAATTTTGGCCTTGGATTATTGGCTTTGTACATAAGAGACCACAAAATTTGTGATGAAATTAACCATGGTTTAAATATTGCTTTATGAATAATTAGTTTTGGTATTTCAGATATGTATATTATATTTGACAAAAACAGAAGTTGATTTAATCGTGCTCTTGCAGGGTAAAAAGATGATATTTTGCATATACATGGTGGCCACTCAAATTTGAAAATGAAATTCCATGACTTTTCCATGATTTTTTCTTGACTTTTTGTAAATTTCCATAATACATCCAGTGCTTGCCATGCACTTAGCCATTGTCACTTCGTCACTCAAAAACATGTAGACTAAAAACTAATTGCTAGGAAGTTCTATCTCTAAATAAGTATTTCTATTGTTATATCATTTCCAAAAACTTGTTTGAAACATTAAAAAAATAAATAATAAACATAATAATAATAAATAATTAACATTTTATTAGATTAAGTTATGAACAGCTATATGCACATGAAATAGAATATAATTGCTAACCATAACTTACTCTAAACATTTCACATTTTTTAATAAAAAATAGTTATTAATTATATCTTTTTTTGTGCAAGAATTATTGATACCAATCTTTTGTTTTAATGGTTAAAGTGAAACAGTGAAAGATTTTGTAAAAAAATATATCATCATCAAATTTATCACCAACAAATCTATGGAGTCAAATTTAACAAACAAATCCACCAATCAAATTTATCACCAACAAATCTATGGAATCAAATTTAACAAACAAATCCACCAATCAAACTTTTCTGCTTAAATGCTAAAACGTTCAATTTCTTCACTTATGGGTACAATACACAATTGAATATCTTACATATCATTAGTTTCTTTAATAATGAACTTCCTTTTTTCTGTTGTTCTAATAGAAACATTTTTGCTTTTAGTTTTATCTAATTATCACGCATATCAAAAATGAGTTAACTTGTTATATTTTTGTTAATTTATTTGTGATTGTGAAACAGTGAACATCCAGCTTTGTAGTGTTTACATGGCTATAAACAGTGTACTGTTTAATTAAAGGGTTTATGGCATGCTCTTTGTTGACACTACAACCTTGCTCAACAGTATAATGACTATAAGATAAAGTGAAAATTAGGACTAACCTTAATAATTCAAAATGTTTTTTCCATTTCAAATAAAAACTTATTAAAAACATTATAGACTTGTCAAGAAGCATTTAAAGGCAATTGAATTAGCTGAACTTCTTCTCATTTAATATTACAACAGATATTGTAAAGGCTTCAAACTGATCTTTGGCAAAATCAGCTGTTTGGGCAGATATCAACTTGAATCTATACATCTTCTAATCTATAGACGGAACAATTTCAAATTTTTTAAAGAGTATTTCAAAAAAAAAGCTTTTTAAAAAAAGTATTCAACAAAATAATAAAAAAATTTTTGTGTGAAAGTTTTCAGCAGTTGACATAAAAAAATATTAAAAAATAAGACCAGAAACTGTTTTTTTTTTTCTAGTAAAAAATTGCCTGCCCAGGTAAAAACCACTTTTCAAATCACTATAAGTAATTTAATAAAATTTTAAGTATATAGACATTTGCATTTAAATTAAATTTAAATTAAAAGTGATATAATTTGTCATGAAAACAATATTTTTTTACCTTCTGTACTCTCAAAACCAACAATTTATAAAACATAATAAAATAATATATATATATATATATATATATATATATATATATATATATATATATATATATATATATATATATATATATACATATATATAATAAAATAATATATATAAAATGGAATAAAAATTATTTCATTATATATATATCATGTATATATATATATATACATATATATATATATATATATATATATATATATATATATATATATATATATATATATATATATATATATATATATATATAATGGAATAATTTTTATTCAATTATATATATATATATATATATATATATATATATATATATATATATATATATATATATATATATATATATATATACACACATATAAATAATAAAATAATATATATAAAATGGAATAAAAATTATTTCATTATATATATATCATGTATATATATATATATATATATATATATATATATATATATATATATATATATATATATATATATATATATATATATATATATATATATATATATATATATATATATATATATATATAATGGAATAATTTTTATTCAATTATATATATATATATATATATATATATATATATATATATATATATATATATATATATATATATATATATATATATATATATATATATATAAATATATATATATATATATATATATATATATATATATATATATATATATATATATATATATATATATATATTATTTTATTCAATGGAATAAAAACTGTGCTTGACGAATATGAACTATGGCCCTCAATAAAAATTATTGTTTCTGATACAACTGCAGCTAATACTGGAGCTGTCACACTGTTGCAGAAGCACTTTAAAGATATTGGATTAGAAAAACCTGTATTGGTTGTCAACACCATATTCTGGATACGATATTGAAACACGTCATGAATGATCATTTTGTGGGAACAATGAATTCACCAAACATGTTATTCCTTTATTTCATAAATAAAAGGACACTATGAACAATTGAAGAAATCATTTGATAATACAGGAAAAGAACAGAAGAAAGTAGAACAGGATCCCTGGTGAGATGACATGTCCTTTCTTGATCACTTAGTATCATGCTACAGGTATTTCAAAAGTACAGGAAGTTTCCCAAAAATGCATTTCCGATCACTTCCATCTATCAGTAATGCAAGATGGAACTCAAAAGCCATATATGTTTTGTTTAGTTTCATACTGATGCCAGAGTTTAGACAAACAGCAAAAGTAGCATGTGATTTCATCTGTGTTTCATGGTCAAAAGTCTGGTTCTCTTCTCAGTTCTTCATTCTTGCTGACTTTGATAATTTGTCAGAAGCTTGTAAAGAGTATCCTTAGGCTTTGCACTTATTGAGGAAGTTTTGGTCAGTGGAGCCTACGCCTATAGCAACCCAGCATTCAAATATCTGTGCTGAGCATATTATGCTCAGCACATGTTATATACATAAGTACACTGTACTTACATGTTATATCTTAGACACATCATTTTCTCATTTGGAGGGTGAACTTTTTTTAAGCAAAAAGAAAAATATTTATTTATTCGTTATTTGTACACAAAACCTCCACTAACTATCATATGGGTATATAAGGTTATGAAATTGTCATATCCCTATCATAAATATACATACATATATATATATATATATATATATATATATATATATATATATATATATATATATATATATATATATATATATATATATATATATATATATATATATGTATATATTTATATATATATGTATATATATGTGTGTATATATATATATATATATATATATATATATATATATATATATATATTATATATATATATATATATAATATACATTTATATATATATATATATATATATATATATATATATATATATATATATATATATATATACATATATATATATGTGTATATATATATATATATATATATATATATATATATATATATATATATATATATATATATATATATATATACATACATACATACATATATACATATATATACTACTGGTCAAAAGTTTGGATTCACTTGATAAATTTAATAATAAACAAAAATAAAAAAAAGATTTGACTCAATAGGTATTTATTTATATTGTTTATGATAAAATCATATTTTCAGCAAAATAGGAAATAATTTTGAATATCATGCAGTATATTTTCATTTTTAAAACAAAATAAATTTTCTAATAACTTTCAATTCTCATTTTCACTCATTGGTTTCAATAAAATTAATCATTCTTTCAAAAAAATGAAAGAATGAAATGACATTTTGAAATATTTCAGTATTTTTTAAAAATAATTTTTATCCATGGTACCCTCAATTCGCAAAAGATCATCAACTTTTTTTCCAGTAAAGCATCACCAGACCATGACTGACCCTCCACCATGCTTGACTTTTGGGATCACACGTTTTATCACATGTTTACCAAATAAACAGAGAACAATGATTTCCTCAGAAAATTTTGAACTTTGATTCATCAGTGAACAAGACTTGCAACCATTGTTATATTTCCCAATCTTAATGTTTTTTCGCTCATCTCAACCATTTAACTTTATTTTGCTTGCGTAGTAACAGTTTTTTGGCAGCAATGCTCCTTTCTAACCTGTAATTGCTAAGACACTGTTTTACAGTTAAAACAGATACTGGTGTTTCTTGCATAGAATTAAGTTCTTGAAATCATATATCCAGCAAACTTACATCAATTTAGAAAAAAATATGAACCAGTATCAACATTAACAACAGCTGAAGACAAAGGAAACATAATGAACATCAGAAGAAAACATAGATAATCACAGTGAGGGTGTAACACATTTCACTAACAGGTCAGAAAGTGACAATGAGCTGAAAAAAAAAAATCATCAAAAATGGTCTCTACATTTTTCTTGTAGTCGAATAGTTATTGTCTATAAATAATATAATATATTATATACTATTATATTCATAGTAATAATATATTATATTATTTATAGACAATAACTATTTGACTACATACTCATATTAAATCATAATATATTATACTGTATCAAACACAATATTATATATAGTATTTGATAAAATATAATATATTATGTAGATAAAAACTAATCAAATACAAAACATAAGTGTTTAATAAGCGTATTTACTATTATTTTAATTTTCATTTTGATTTAAATATTGGCAATTCTGTTCATCAAATTTTACTAAAGGTTAATGATTTTCAAAGTGATTTTAGGTTTCTTTTAAATAAAAGAGAAAATTAGAGTAAACTTAGGGATTAAAAAAAATATATAATTAAATAATTATAATTAAATAAGCTACATTTACAATGAATTTTTTTTTATAATTAAAGATATTAAAGTTTAAAAATAAATAAAACTGAATAAAATTTTTATTAAGTAATTGTAATTGTTATTTTTATTATTACTTATCGAAAAAAATATGAAAAGAAATAAAACTTTCTGAACAAGTTTTTCTTTTATTTTTTTGCTAAAGATCAAAAGTTTATTCATTCAAAAATTAAATTTGATTACTATATGGTTGTTAAGACTGAATTTTTTTACTTAAGTTCATTTATTATTAGAAACAGTTAACTCTTATTTGCCAACAAACAAAAGGTAACTCCAAACTAATATTTTACAATCATTCTATTTCCTAAAAATTTTTTATTTCAAATTTTCGATTGTCTTTAAATTGAGTTTTATAATAAGTTTCAACTTATTTTTTTTTAAAGTAAGATTTAGTTAGTGATTAAACTACAGTTAAAGTAAGATTCAGTTGGTAATTAAACTACAGTTAAAGTAACATTCAGTTGGTAATTAAACTACAGTTAAAGTACCATTCAGTTGGTGATTAAACTACAGTTAAAGTAAGATTCAGTTGGTAATTAAACTACAGTTAAAGTAACATTCAGTTGGTAATTAAACTACAGTTAAAGTAACATTCAGTTGGTAATTAAACTACAGTTAAACAAGTTAAGACATGTAATTATTTTTTAATCCATTTTTTATTGTCCTAAAGAAAAAATAAACTTCCTAAAATAAGCATAAAATTAGTTATTCACTATGCATTTGATTTACTAATGAATTATATGCGTTTGAATTATTAATTGAAGATGAGTTATAAACATTTTTCTTATTTTTAATAAAAAAGCAAGGAAGAATAAAATTTTTTGGACCCCCATACTGCTCCAGTAGAACCAAAATGGGTCTGGGTTTGTCCCTGTCTAATTCCGCTTAATAAACAAGAAAGCAAGATTTGTGCTGAGTGATGTATTAAAATTGTTCAAGATGTCAAACAAATTTGTAAAGCTTAAAAAACAATTTAAAGTTTATTGTAACAAATAAATAAATATGTAAATATGTTGAAAAACATGTTTTAACCAAGAAATTGTTATTTTGAGTAGAGGGTGACTTTTTTTTTTTGAAGTAGATGTTAAAACTCAAAAATGATATTAGTATAATCAAATAATCAAATTAACAAATATAATCAAAGGTTTCATCAAGTAAACATCTAGTGGTGGTCAGGCTTGTGGAGCCGACTAATTTTTTTAACAGCTCGGCTCCGGCTCCTAAGAAATACCCAACTCCGGCTCTTTAACTTTATGAACAAAAATTGCAATTTAATTTTTTTTTTCAACCCCATTGGTCAACCCAAAACTGTACCAATTACAGCAATTAATTTTTAACCAACTCTTATGATTACAAGGTTATTGTATTACTACTACAGGATATTACATTTAAAAAGAAAATTTTTTTGGGTATATAAACACTTTTTTCTATATATTATTTACCCAAAACTAAAGTTTTTGTTTCAAATTTTAGTTTTAATTCTACCCAGGGGATACAGTACTTAAAAAAGACGCCTTTTGAATGTCCCAAAGATGTCCAAAACATTCAAAAGGCATCTCAAACATTCAAAAGACATTTAAAAGACGTCTTTCTTATGCCCCCACTGAGGGACCTAAAAAAGCGTATTTTGAACGTTCAAAAGTCGTCCAAAACATTTAAAAGACGTTGAAAACACTCCAAAGACAATTAAAAGACCTCTTTAGTATGTCCCATGCCCACTGGGTAAAGCATGCGATCGTTAAACTAAAAATGATAAAAAATTCAAAAAAAAATGAAAAATAGTTCAACTAATGCAAAAACTACAAAAAATATTTATTTTAATATAAGGAACTTGAAGATTATAAAAGTGCTTTTACCTCAATATTTTTATTATTTCAAATAAATAAGCAAACATTTACGCTTATTAACGACATCATTTTCTCAATGGGACGGAATTGTGTGCAAATTGATGGATTCAAACTTTTTGGTATTAATTGAATGTCACTCTTCTTAGAATAATGACAAGAAGCAAGATTAGGCTAGAACCAACAAGGGACTTAGTGACTTCAATAAAATTCCAAAAGTCTAGCTTGCAAGTATTCTTTGATGTAAACATTCAAGTTTAAAATTGACAATGTGACAAAAGCTCGAGATTTCAATTGTAGCTCCATATTGCTTGACAAATTTTAACCTTTAAAAAACTCTGAAACTCTTTATATCCTTTGGCTCGCACTCTGTTTGATAAGCCGGGGTTTTGCGTGAATGATCGTCGAATACTAATTGCGGTTTTCTTATCTTTAAAGCTACTTTTTCACCAAGATCCTTTTGTTTGTTTGATAGATAGAGAGCTCTTGTATTGTTTTATGACAATGCAAACTGTAGTTTAGCTAGATTCAGATGCCTTAGCAATTGAAATTAATGATGTAGAAGGACTTTGTAAATAGATGAGCAGAATTTTTTTTCGTTTTTCTAAATGTTTCAATGACATTTTAATTAAGAGCAACATTTTGACTCCTTTGTTGATGTTTTTAATTAACACCTTAATTACTTAATGTAATTATGTGAAAAAAATAATTTAATAATGTTATAGTGACAAGTTTTAAACCAAATTTATTGTTCCAAATTAAACGATGGTATGCTTTAGATTAACTTTAAAGTTATCAATAACTTTTGATCATTAAATCGCAACAGTTTATTTATATTAGTAACAACAGTTTATTTATATTGTTTTGCCAATTTTCTTTTTATAATATACATATTATTATATTATATATAAAACACATAATTTCAGGTAATCCAATGAATGACTTAAAAACAAAATGAATTTTTTAACCATCAATAGAAAGATTATTTTTACATACAAAACATATACATATCTATTACATCAAGTTTATTTAACGCATTCAGGTGACCAATATTGGTCACCTGCTAAATGATTCCTTTCAGTTGCCCTTCCAGGTGATCAACCAAAAGTAAAAGTGTACACCACTGTGTTTGTGTTTATGTGTGTGTGTGTGTGTGTGTGTGTGTGTGTGTGTGTGTGTGTGTGTATATATATATCATATATATAATAATTTAAACTTTAACTCACCTCGTTTCAAATCTGCCATTAAATTTTCTTTATCATCATTTTTTTTATTTAAATCTTTAAGCTCATGATCTTTACCTGTGTATGTATATATATATATATATATATATATATATATATATATATATATATATATATATATATATATATATATATATATATATACATATATATATATATATATATATATATATATATATATATATATATATATATATATATATATATATCAGCGTGTAAAATAACAGCCGGTCAACGATCAATGACCGCCCAAAATGAGTAAAATTGCTATTTTAACCTCCCGAAATGAATTCTTGTCGGTCATGGTTGACCAGTTAAAAAACAATCAGAGTTTTGAAAAACAAGATTTGAAAAATAATCAGGTTATTATTTGGAAAAAGCATGTACTAAATTATCATATAATCATTAAAATTTTGAAAAAGTTTATCAATTCATCAAACTTCCTTTAAGAAATAAAATGAAAATCTGCGCGCTTAATTTTAAACTATTAACATCACAGGGTGTTACCCAAAAGGTGATTATACTTCCATTTTTTAGATATAGTTAAATTTTAATCAAAAAAAAAGTTCTATTTTTGCTAGGTGTTATAGTTATAGCAGGATTATTTTTTTACTTTATAAATGTTTATTTCAAATATATTTAGCTTGTTTCATTATGGGCAATCTTTTAAAGTTTACATTTTTAAATCATTTTTTCTCTTTGTTTGATATACTGTAGCCATTTTTCAAAATGCCTTAATAGGCTTATTACATATTTCAAGAAACACGTAATTAAAAAAAATTATTTGGAGAAACTCTTTGTAAAACGCTTTTTGAAACTAATAATTTTTATGAATTTTTTTAGAACTCTTTAAAAATATGTATTCAAAAACGTTTGTAAACATCTTAACAAGCTTATTTGGTAAAAAAAAGCCAAATTGATTTTTTTTTTTACATAAGACGCTTTGAAAAACGGCTGCAGTAAAGAAGAGAGAAAAAAAGAACTAAAGACAATTGTTTGCTGTTTTAATGAATGTATTATTAAATTTCATTGAAATTTTGATCTAAATTAATTCCGTACATCGCTTTTTTAATACAGTTTTAAAAGGTTTAAACGATTAGTTCTAAAGAAATATATTTGACTATTAAAATACTTAAGTATTTTAAAATACTTAAAAAACTTTTTGTCATGTCAAATTTTTATAAATTCATTATGTCAAATTTTTATAAATTTATATAATGATAAAAATTATAATTTTTATCATTATATAAACTTAACAGTTTAAAAACTTATTTAAATCAATAACTTTTAAATGAAAATTAAATGAAAGTTTTTGAAATCATAATAACTTTTAATTGAAAAACTTGGTTGGCTTGCCAATTTCCGTCAAATATAATGTTTGTTAAAAGAACTTTTGTTGCAATATGCTACTTTAATTTTAATAAGTAACAAAGCGTATAGAGGGCAAAGCGAGATTCTTTCACCGCACGAGGGCAGCAACTAAATTTAATTGGCGTATTTTAAATATCTAGTAAATTAGGTATTTAAATAAAAAAAATGTATTTAAATACAAAATTATTATTATTATTTTTTCAATTTACATTACATTCATTAAATATCTACATAAAGTTTGTATTTGTAAATTAAAAAAAGAATTTTGTATTTATAAATATTGGTTAATAATTAATAATATTATAATATTATTTAATTATCTTCTTTTACGTTTTATGTAAATATAATATAGTTAATATGTTTCATTGCAAGTTTTATTTTTGATTATTTTTGTTGTTATTTTCAATTTACTTTACCTGCTAATTTATTTTAGTATTAATAAATCTTTTATTACAAAAACGTTATTAACTTATTTTAAAGTATAATATTTATTAATATGCAAATTTCTTTGTAACTTTACTAACTTAAGATAAACAGCAAAAATATAAATAAAGAGTTTTTAAATAATAAAAATAAATTTATAAAATAATTTATTAAACTTAAAAAATCTTAACTCAAGATTAACTAACGTCAATAAAAATTAAAATAAAAAAGTTTTTTTAAACTATTGAACGAATGATCATGTTAATGTATGGACTTTTGTTAATGACGACACGTTTTTACACATAAAAAAAATCAATCAATTTAATTCATTTTTTTGTCATGCTTCTGATTGCGTTTTTTACTTGTCTAGAGCGACACAAAATTTGAGACTGATTTAATTTTTTTTTTTTTTTTTACTATGATATTATGAACCTTTGGGAATTTGAAACCAATTGGGAATACCGCATTATATGTGGTGCCATCAGGTTGGTTAACAGCCTGATGTATATATATATATATATATATATAATATATATATATATATATATATATATATATATATACACAGTGTTGTGAAAAAGTTAAGAACCACTAAAGAAAAAAAAATTATTTTCAAAAAAAATTAATTAATTTTTCTTCTAAAGATAACAAAATAGTCTTTTTTTTTTTTCACACATTAAATCGAACATGAGAAAAAAGAAAATTTTTTTTTTTCGAAAACTTATTAATAGAACCTATAAAAATAAGGATTAAATATTATGTATTAATTTTTTTCAATATTTTTTTTGTTAAAAAGTTAAGAACCACAATGAATCTTAACTTTTTCACAAGTGCTAAATGCGTTGGAAACAGCTTTTTTTAATTGATTTTTACCTTTTTTAATTAAATATTTTAATAATGACCTGAGTCATTACCAAAAAACCAAAAGTATTTAAAAAAAGTATTTAATTTCAAAGAAAAAAAAACTCTCTTCTTTTGAAAAAATTAGCAGAAAAGCTATTACCTATGAAGATCATGTAAAAGTAATGCATTATCACCAGGAAGGTAAAACCGCTCGTGAAATTGGAAGAATAATAAAATGATCACATAGTTCAGTGCTTACAATCATTAAAAGATTCAGAGAGACGAAATCTTATGTTGTCGCCATCGTTCTGGAAGACCGCGTTTGACGACACCCAATGATGATCGTCTTTTAATCAGGTTGGCAAAGAAAAATCAAACTATGTCGTCGCATGAATTATTAAGGGAATGGAAGCTTTTAAATGGATGTCAAGCATCGGCATTACTTGTGTGTAGGAAACTAATAGCTAACAATATGCTATGGAAAAAAGCTGTTCTAAAACCGAGACTTAACAAACAACATATAAAAAAGCAAAAAGAATTTTGCCAAAGTGTCAAATAATGGTCCAAAGAAAAATGGAGGACAGTAATGTTCAGTGATATGATGAATATTGAGGTTGATAACCGAAAAAACCGAATTATGATTCGCAGGCAGCCTTCCGAAAAATATAATCTTGATTGTATTGTTCAAAGAACAAAACAAGGTAGCGGGTCGGTCGGAATATGGTGCTGCATGACATATTATGGTCTTGGTATGTTTAAATTATTTGATGGTTCAACTCTATTTATTATGTCGATATTTTAAATAATAACTTGTTACCATCAATTGATGCACTTTAGCAAAGCGTTCCGTTCATTTTTCAGCAAGATAATGCACCATGCCATCGGGCTAAAATTGTCTCTGAATGGTTCGAAAACAAAAATATTGAGTTTCTAACTTGGCCACCAAATAGTCCAGATCTAAATTGTTTTGAAAATCTTTGGAGTTGGCTTGATAAACAAATTGCCAAGAAAGCACCAAGAAGCCTTGAGGAGTTGCGCAATATTTTACCAACAATACTTAGAAATATTCCCAAACATATTTTAGAGAATTTAATAGACTCAATGCCAAATCGTATGAGTACTTAAAAATTCATGGTAGAATTACGCAATATTAGATAAAAATTACTGTTTTTTGTTCTGTGGTTCTTAACTTTTTCACAATTTTTAAAATAAAAATTACCTACAAAACTTTAAATACATTTTTTTTATTTGTTTAAAAGTCTAACTATTATTAATTTTTTACCAGAAAATTATATTCGACTAAATAAAAATTTAAAAATAAAAATAAATTATGATTTGTTTTTTTGGTGGTTCTTAACTTTTTCACAATTGTGTATATATATATATATATATATATATATATATATATATATATATATATATATATATATATATATATATATATATATATATATATAAAATAAAATTTAAGTTAATTAGGTAAAACTTTATACATAACAAGGGTTCCTATCAAGTGAACTTGATATTGAACATAAGTTGCACATTCTAACATCTAGTGCAATACTTGTTCTATTATTATGTTGGTGAATTGTACGTGTTAGAAATCACGTAGATGCGTGTTGAAAGTCACGCATCTACGTAAGTTATTTCAACTGTAATTAACAGTATATTCTCATGGGACTTTTTAATTTAATATATATAGAGAAAAGATTTTTGTATAGGATGTGAGAAAGAATATATAAAGCTATAGATTATAAACGTTATTAAATTAAATGGACGCGACGATAAAACAATACTGTCCACTGTCTCTAAGCCAACTTTCTAACTCAATTGCTATCTTTCTTTCTAATATCCTTCATTCTTTTAAAAATTACTTACTCTTGGTTTGCAAAGAGATTATGATGCTCTTTAGCAAGCTGAACTCATCTTTGTGGGTCTTGGTATGTAGCCTCTAATGGAAATTATTCTGAGGAGGATAAACCACATGGAGGATAAATGCATGGAAAGAAGGTATATATTAAATAAAATAGTATGTTAGATGTATTTTTATATTTAATTTTTTGTAGTGCAGTCTAAAATAGCTATCTTAATTATTATTATTTTCATTATCTGATCTATATTTAAATTATTTAAAGTTGTGGTTTTTGACAAAGTTATCTGCAAAATAGAAATTTTGATGTTAATAATTGTTAAATTATTATTTAATTATTTTTTTATATTTATATATACTGATTAACTGTTGAAAGTTTTTCTCAGGTTCATGCCTTGATTTCGGTTTCAACCCAACCTTGAATTTTAAATGTACCTACATCTAAATCTTTTAGTACTTGCTGAACGATTGAATAGATGTTTTCAAAGTTCCCTGAAAAAGCTGCCAACTGAAATCATAGATTTACTCCACAAAAATGCTCCTCTTTTGC